TGTTGCTAGAGTTTTCCGGCCTTGCCCACAGTCAGGACAAATCTTTGTCACCCGCCAGTCCCACAGCCGCTCAGACCCAACCAAGTAAACACAGAGATTTATTTTGCTTACAAACTGTATGGCCGTGGCAGGCTTCTTGCTAACTGTTCTTTTATCTTAAATTAATCCATTTCCATAAATCTATACCTTGCCATGTGGCTGGTGGCTTACCGGTGACTTCACATGCTGCTGGTCATGGCGGCAGCTGGCAGTGTCTCTCTGCCTCAGCCTTCTGTTTCCCAGAATTCTCCTCTCTCCTTGTCCCACCTACTTCCTGCCTGGCCACTGGCCAATCAGTGTTTTATTTGACATACAGACCATCTCACAGCAGGAGCCCCTCATGAAAACTCCTGGGTGTATTTGACATGACTCTGAGTATTTGCTTTCCATTTTGTATTTTCCCTCTTACCTCGGCTGCCCACCCCCAGCCACCACCTTTCCGCTCTCTTTTTCTTTCTAAGACTAACCTTTTTAAAACTCTACACATGAGATCTTGCGGGAGGGGGGGAGGGTGTTCTTTCTGATGTGTTTCACTTAATATAGTGTCCTCCCGGTTAGGTATGCTGCCACAAATGACATTTCCTTCTTTTTTAATTTATATTTATTGTATGTTCAAAGTCGTGTGGGCAGGGTGCACACATGTATGCCAGTACTCATGGAGGCCACAGCCACAGCTCAGTCTCAGATGTTGTTTCTCAGTTCCCATATGCTTTGTTTTTGAGACAGGGTCTCCCAGTGGCCTGGAGCTCCCCAAGTTAATGATGATAGCTGGCTAGAAATCCCCAGGGACCTGCCTGTCTTCATGTCCCAGCACTGGGACTGTGAGCATGCACTACCACACCTGTGTTTGGGGGTTTCTTTTTGTTTGTTTGTTTGTTTGTTTGTTTGGTTGGTTGGTTGGTTGGTTTTGGTTTGGTTTTTTTGAGACAGGGTTTCTCTGTGTAGTTTTGGTACCTGTCCTGGAACTAGCTCTGTAGACCAGGCTGGCCTCAAACTCACAGAGATCCACCTGCCTCTGCCTTCCAAGTGCTGAGATTAAAGGCATGTGCCACTACCGCCCAGCTACACACCTGTATTCTTTATGTGTGTTCTGGGAATCAACTCAGGGCCTAAACTATCACTCCAACCTATTCTCTCTCTCTCTCTCTCTCTCTCTCTCTCTCTCTCTCTCTCTCTCTCTCTCGATGAATAGTAGTATGTTATGCAAATATGCCACATTTTTCTTTACCCATTCTTTCAGTGATGAGTACTTGGGTTAGTTATGCCTCCTGACTGCCATGGGTCATTTTAAAATGAAAATAGGGGTACATGTACCTGTCTCTCCAACACACTCATCTCATTTCTTTTGTATGTATACACTAAAGTGAAATCACTGAATCATGTGGCGTTTCTATTTTTTGAGGAACTTGAATATTGTTTTCCATAATGGCTGCCCCAATGTCTATTCTCACCAACAATATGCATGAATGGCCTTTTCTCCATTCCCTTGTCAAAACTTGTTATGATAATAGCCGCTCAGATAGATGTTAGGCTATGACATCTCTGTGTGGTTTTAATTTACATTTTTTTCTGATTGCTAGCGATTTTTATCTTTTTTTATATGTCTGTCTTAGTTACAGTTCTTATTGCTGTGAAGAGACACGATGCCTACGATAACTCATAAATAAAAGCATTTAATTGAGGTGGCTTGCTTACCATTTCAGAGGTTCAGTTTATTATCATCAGGATGGGGAGCATGGCAGCATGCAGGCAGATGTGGTGCTGGAGCTGAGAGTCTGACAATCTTGACTCAGAGGCAACAGGAAGTTGACTGGCTCACTGAGCAGTATTCCAAGCATAGGAGAC